TCTCCTTCCTTCCCTCCCTATTTTTTCCTTCTTTCCTCATTCCCCTCCCCTTGTTCTTCCTTCTTCCCCTCTCCTTCCTTCCTTCCCTCCCTTTTTTCCTTCTTTCCTCAGAATGTTTACAGCAGGGGTGTCCAACCTTGGCAACTTTTAAGACTTGTGGACTTCAACTCCCAGAATTCCTCAGCCAGCTTTGCTCCCAGAATTCAACTTCAACTGGCTGAGGAATTCTGGGAGTTGAAGTCCACAAGTCTTCAAGTGGCCAAGGTTGGACACCCCTGGTTTACAGTATTTCTCTCAGCTTGGGCCACTAAAGGGGCCGGAGAATTCTGGGAGTTGAAGTCCTCCCTTCTTCCAGGTGGCCAAGCTTGACAAACTGCTGTAGGACGACGTTGTTGTTGTTGTTGTTGTTGTGGGCCGTTTTCTGCGGGGTTTTCTGCTGATAGAAGAGGAGAAAGTCTCCCCTCCCGGGGGAGGGGGCGGCGGCGGAGTGTGCGCGTGTGCACTTATTGCACTCTTGCACTTATTTAAGGGTCCTCCCTCCCTTGTGCAACCTCCTCCTCCTCCGCTTGCAAATCCTCGGGCTTCCCCCGCGTCTAGGAATGCGCGCGCGTGGAAATGCAACCCCCCCCCCCCAAACACGCATCCCTGGGCCACGTTCCCCCCAACCCCCTTCCCCCCCCCACCCCAGCCTAAAAAAAGGGGGGGGAGGAAGGAAGGGCGGGGGAGGCTGGCCAAGCAGCAAAAGTGTTTGTTGTTTTTTCCCCCTTCCTTCCTTGCATCGCTTGCAAAAGGTTCCCGGGACATTGGGCAAAAAAAGACGCGCGTCCGTTTTCCCCGCGCACGTGTGCAACGCCACGTGGGCCGGGCGGGAGGCGTCCCTCGGCACTCTGCACATGCTCGGGGGCGCCCTCTCGGCAAGCACTTCCGGGGTTGCCGAGAGGATCCGGGGCTGAGCCCGGCCGTCCGGCGCCGCCGCCGCCGCCGCCACCGCCTCCTTTTGCCAAAGCGAAGCGGTGACGTTGCCCGGCTGGGCTGGGCTGGGCTGGGCGCCTTCTGCAACCGGGCGCCCCCCCCTTCCCGGCTCCACGATGTGGTTCTTCGCCCGGGATCCGATCCGCGACTTCCCCTTCGAGGCGGCTTCCCCGCCGGAGCCTCCGCTGCCCCAGCCGGGGGGCGTCTGGCAGCTGCACCGCGGGCGGAGGAAGGTGGGCCCGGGCAGCAGCTTTGCAAAGGCGGTCCGGGGAGGAGGGGGGGGTCTCCACCCTTTGGGGGAGGGGAGGGGAGCGAGGTTTGGGGGAGGGGCCTCCCCTTTTGGGGCAGAGGGAGGAAGGGAAGGGGGGGAGGGGGGGCGTTGCGTGGCTCCCGGATCTGCATCCTTGTGGGATCTGAGCCCTTTTTTAAAGACCAAACTCCCAGAATTCCCCCCCCTCCAACCATGATACCCCAAGCTAT